CATGAAATTTGTATTTCATTTAACTATAGTAAACAGGAAAAAAAAGGTGAGAAAAGAAGCATTAACCCATGTTTTTAAAAAGATGATTTTAGTATAGTTCTTAAAGGTTAGTATGACTATGCTAGAGAAATTGTTTGACTCAGCTAGAGAAATTTCAAGGAACTTAAATCTTTTGTGTAAGCTATTTTTGGATGCACATAAACTAGCAGCTGCAACCATATAATTCATATTTATGCCTCTTTCATAGATATGTACTTTGTTTTATATATATATGTGTGTGTATATATATATATATGTTCTTCAACATTGAACTACAATCCATTGTATCATTCTTCATAAGATACTTGATTCTTGTTTAAAAACTCAGGAGTGTATTATAATTGAGTTGAAAATGATATTAGATCTTTTCTGCTAAAGTGAAAAACAGAGGGGTTTAGAACCAGATCTAGAACATCAGTTTTAGATATACTCATCTGGTGACAAAGTGTCCTGAAAGCTGAGCCTTAGCAAGGCACATCTGACTTGGCTGAGTATATAGTCAAAAGGAAGAGTAAAATATTAAAAGAACCCTAACTAATATAGGGAGATGCCTGGAACTATAGGTAACACTGACAGAATCTGAAGAACTACAGAGCTCTTAGTGTCTTAGAACATGAAAGTGTTTCACAAGACCTGCATAGTTATTAATTACCATTTAAAATGGATTAGAAAATGAAAAATATTGAAATTTTACTTCTGGATGTTTTGTCTGCGTGTCAACATCTCTGCTGTTTGTTCTGGTGTCATCATTGCTGCTACTTTGTAAATACTTTTTCTTAAGTAAAGAGTAAATAATTGAAGCGTAAGATAATTATTGAGTAATTTCTTTATATGGAACAGATGATTTGCCTGTACTTCAAAAAATTTATTTGCAGAACCATAAATGCATAATTAAAAATGCGTGTAATTAAAAAACAGTAACAGTGAAAAGATAACCTTCAGTAAAGACCTTTAAAGATTTGTGGGTCTTTTGACTAAACAGTTGAGAAATGGAAGAATAAAACAATAACTTCTGTCCTTACATCATCTTTTTGTCTCTTGTGAGTGAGAAACAGAGGCAATACGTGTACATATATCTTATGCCACTTACACTCTTTTTGGGCTTCCTAGATTACAAATGAAGATATTGAAACAGCAAATGTGTTGTGTAGGAAAATTTTATGAAGAATTCCTGTTAATCATAGCCCATGGTTTGGTGGGGTGGCGAGCAATGCTTCAAGTGAAGAACTGCTACAATGGTGCAGTGTAAAAAATACCATCCAAGATTTCTGAGTTTTGTCTCCACTGGATAGGAGGTCTGCCCTGCTACCTGGGGAATTCAGTTGACCCAAAATAGATATCTACATCATATAAAACCATAGCTATGAGCTACCTAGGCTCCCTTTAATGACAGTGGAACAGAGAAAGCACTCCTAGGTATGATTCATCTAACTAGACAGCAGTAAGAAATCAGGTGAATGGTGACTTAAATGGCACCAAAAATGCATATTGGAAATATTAATGTTTCATTTTTTAACCACATTTTGGAGAAAGAAGCAATGGAGAAAGCAGTAGAGCAACTGTTAAAATGCCACTTCCACCAACACAATGCATTTGATCAATGAACACCTGGGAAGCACAGAGTTTATGAAAATGTTGAGCAATGCCTTGTGACTCTTTAAATCATTGCTGCCTCAGGCAGTGCTGCCATCTGAGATTAGTTAATGAATTGGATGGCTACCTGATCATTTATTTGGTTTCAGCAACCTTTCTGTGCAATGGTAAAAGGCAATTAGGTCTGTATTAATTATTTTTTAAATTAAACTGTCATTCTTTATTAGCAGTCTGTAGCATCATGAAGAATCTGAAGCATTGAACAGAGACATTGTATTGACTGAGGAAAGAAACTAAAAAAATCCATAATAGTAATCAGTGTAGAATTTTGATCTGTTAATGATTGGGGTCTTTGGACTGATTCAGGCCTTTCTTCCTCATGAAATTATATGAAGTATTGGAAATCAACAGACAATACAGAAAGTAATAACATTTCTCTGGGTGTAAAAGTAAAGAGATGAAAATCTATTTCTAGTTAATATGAAAAAGTGTATAAGCATGACACCTGCTTTTCTCAGGACTTGTAACAATGAAAAACAGGGACAGTACATTATACACATTTTATGCAACTTTCATTATTTTTTGTGTTTTCCAGGGTACAAATAGGGTCAAAGACAAAAGTACTGACAGAGAAACAGGGAATTTCCTGGCTTCCAGCACCAAGTCTATCCCCCCACAGTTTTCCCATTATTTGTGGGAACTGTGGAATAAATGTCTTTCCAGACAGAGGCTAAGAAGATAAAAGTTACTAATGAAAAAGACTTCAAATATTGCAGGATTTGGAAATGGTTTTTACTCTTAGTATATAAAACCAGTCTCAAATTAGCTTGAGTGTTATTAGAGTGTCTATTTATGAAAGCCATCCTTCTAAAATAATTTCCTTTATTTCTCCCACTCTAGACAATTTTGCAGTAGATTCTCTAATTTCAGAATTACTGTTGGATAAAATATGAGAATAAGGAGACACTGGGAACTCCTAAGATCTAGTAAGCAAAATGCCTGTAGCTTATGTTTCAACACTATGTAAAATTAATAGGAATCCTTTCCACAGCAAATAGCATATTCAAACACTTACATGTGCTGCTCTGTGGTTGTTGTGCAAATGCTTCTGTAGCCTTCATGCAGGTTGGGATGGAATGTGCAGCTGATGGAAAAGAATTGTCCTTATCTAGTATTCCAAGACCTTTAACTGGATTTCCTGCTAGCACCAGTGTCTTGATGGCATGGAAAGGAAACCTTGCACACAAAGGTCTTTGGACTGACCCCTGTGTTATACTGTCCTTCCTTTGGTCTTCTCTTTGACTGTGCTAGACATTTACTTTCTCAGATTGGTTTCACTCTTAAAAATTGGGATCCAAAGAAATTCATTAGATAACTTAAAATAACGTGTTCTGTAGGCTGACATTTACAGAGGGTGATCAGGCCTTCAGAAAGACTGAGGTTGTTCTAGGAATGTTTTAAAATGAAATGGGATAATGCCAATTCAGGTGATTAAACAGAACAAGCTATCAGAATTTCTGGGTATGTCCAGTTGTTTCTGTGATGTGCTGCAAGTTGTATCTCAGTGTTGTTACGTGCTTAAGTATAGCAGCGAAGAATTTGAGCATACATGAGAAACTGCAGTGATGACTTATGGGGCCATATAACGAATTTGATTGGCTGGAAACATTTATCTCTCAAGTAAAAGAGGAACTGAAAAATGTAGGAGAACATCTGTAATATATCTCCATCTCCATACAATGGCTATTTTCCATAAAGCCATATATTTCAGATGGTTATCCCGATTTGGCTATGATAGCACATACACCCAGAAATAACTGCAGATATTTTGGGTCTGATCCTGGAAAGCTGCTGCATAATGATCACAGAATCATAGGGTTGGAAGAGACCCACAAGAATCATCAAAGTCCAGCTCCTGGCCTTTTACAGGACAGCCCCAGGAGTCATGATGCTCGTGGTGTATTGTACATTTGTATCATATATATGACATTCTCTGCTTTTTGCAGATGCTTTAAAAATGCTCTTCCTCCAGAAGGAGCTTTGATGCAGGATAGGCACTAAGTTGCACTGAGCCATCCAGCCAGTGGGTTTAATGGGACGAGGTGCTACTGTGAGCCTCTCCCTCTCTTTTCCATGCTCTGGGCATTAAAGAGTCACATGGTGCCATGTCCCAGCAAAACCACCTGAGTACTCGGTTGCTCAGGGACAGTCGCAGAGTGGCACTGAAATATCCAAGTGATTATAGAAATTGATGAGAAATCAAAGTTGCTCTAAGGTTTATTTAAGATTTTTGTTAGATTACAAGGTGACCCAGCGTAATTCAAACGTTTCTTTCTCAAAATACTTATAATTTGATTGTGAATAATGTTCTTCATAAGACATCCAGAACTACAACTTCCTCTATAAGAAAAAAATTCTCTGAAGAGATGTGCTGTACCAATGGGCATAAAACAAGAGCAAGACACTGTATTTTCTCTGACATCACAGATTATCTCACTGTTGATGCAGCAACACAGGTCTCTTCATCAGTTTCACAGAGAATGAGGAGTACTCCCAAAGGAGAAAAAAATGAAGATAAACTGCCTTCTAGTCTCATTTGCAGCTTCAGTAGTAACAGAATTTCTCCTGTTAAAATGATTTTGTGTGGAGGAATTACAAATAAAATGAAAGCCTCAAAGAAGGAAAGGGCATGTTTCTCAGGAGTTGTTGATAACTGAGATACTTCTTTCAAAATATGAAAGATAATTTTATATTAGAAAAACAGGAACAGCATCTGATTTCATCTTCTGAGCTTCAATAGGAAGGTCTTGGCTTAGAGTTTTAGAATTATATTACAGGACCTATCACACTTCTGTTCTGTACAAAAAAGAGAAACATCCCCCCCCAAACAACAACAACAACAAAAAACCCCCAACCAACCCCAAAACTCAAAATTATTTTCCATGTATTTTCATAGAGAAGAACGAGTTACTGATTTCTAGGTCTCATAAGAAGATCTAACAGATCACTGTGAGACTTAGAAAGTATAAGCTTTACAAATTCCTTCTTGAGAAAAGCAGATTAGCCTGAAAAAAATGGAACCAAAGAGTGCCCTTGGCTGAGGTTGCAGCAATACAGAGTAAGCTTTTGCAGTATGGCTGTGTAGCATAGGTGAAGTATAGCTTGCAAAATAGAACATTATTTCCTTTACATTATTCTTAATCTATTCATGTCCTGTCTATATAGTTGGTAAACTTACAACTGCAGATGTAGATAGTAAGATTCATATACTTTAGTTCAAGAAACTGAAAATAAGAAAAAAATCCTGAAAAGAGAGTCCTTACAATGTGCTCTTTGGCTGCAGATATTTCATCCTGAAACCTCAGATATTAATGTCACTAACAGGTGTGAGTTTCATTTTAGAAATAATTTAAAAATATATATTTTTCAACTCATGAGCCCTGCTCTTAAGCTCTGCAACACCAGTAATGACATTACGTATGAAGATATTCAGGCCCACAATACATTCACAAATATAATGTCATGCCAGTTTGCATTGTCTCCTGTAATCATACTTAAAAATGATCATAGATCTAGAGCCAAATTGCAACATTCATGTGGAATAAGGGAATCCCAATACCCAACATATTTGCTTGCAATTGAGAAAAAAACCATTTTTCACAATTTAGAGCAATTTAGACTTTGTTCCTGTCTCATTAGTAGGAAGAAAATAATTTTTCAATTACTCATCACCTAGAGAGTTTTTAAAAATATAAATCAATAAACCTTGCTTTTCAAAGAGGCAAACTCAAGATAGCTTTCTCATTCTCTCAGCTAAAATTTTCCCTGTAATATCTACAGGTACATGAAAGAATTTACTGAATGCATGCATACTTTGGAAACACTGGTGTTAAAAAAATAGTTTTTTCATTGGAGTGTGCATTCTTATAAGCATTTATAGCTGGAAGGGAGCTTGTAAGTATGGGTTTACTTAAGTACAATTGAAATATTGGGGTAAATATGGACAATAGATGACTACAAAGCCTAGTTTCTAAAAATCCACTCTAATTTCTTACAGTGGATTTTTAGAAACTAGGCTTTGTAGATTCACTACTACCGCATTTTATTTGTTTATTTTTTAAGTTAAGCAAATTAGGAACATTTTATGCTAGCATTTCCTGAAAATTTACATGAGGATTGATTTTTATCAATTAAGTACCAGCATGTACTTTTGTGCAACTAATCCCTGAATTTCTGCTCTTGAGGAGGTTTTGTGTTCTTTTTTATCTCTAGGTTGTAGTTTCATTTGAAGACAGTTGAAGGACTTCTCCCCAAACATAAGAAGAGATTTTGCTCAAGAGTCAGCCCATAATTATACAAGAATACATGAGGTATTCCTCTTGTCTGTATTCCTTTTCCCATGATTTATACCAGAATTATGTTCCACACTGACAAACAGGTTACCTCATTAAAGTTTCAGTCTGAAAGCAATACAGTCCATGCCAAGTTGTTGCTTAGTCACTTAACATAATACCTATGTAATTTTAAATTTCAGTGATTTTTTCAAAGGTTACTCGGAAAATTACCAAACATAAAGACATAAAAGACAGTTATGAAGAATTAAATTGCATGTTGACCAATGTCAAATATCATACAAGAAATAAATTGTCTGTCAAAGAATAAACATGAATTAAACTTATTTTTTACTGAAAATATTCAATTCGATGGTACTTGCAGTCTTCAGAATATTTTTGTTTCAATCCTTTTCCTTCTGACCAAAGGCATTATCCATGCTCTCAGGGAACTTGATGCATGATTCGAAGCATAGTATTGTTTTTCTAGGAACGAAACTGATGAGACAAACACGGAGTTAGGTTTGTTTTTTTTAGAAAAATGTACTCTATAAATAAAGAAATCGTAAATTCATTGTATTTGCTCAGTAATTCTAATGTCTGGCAATAACACATTTGGTGTTTCCCCCATGTTACAAGTGGGGGAAATGAATGACAGGCCAAGCCATTTTGCGAAAGCCCAGCCAGCAGTGGAGGCAGTGACTGGAAGCAGACAGTTCTAGCCCAGGCATTATTCCCAGTGTACCATATCATGAAAATTCTTGAAATTTCTATACTCAACTGTAGCTTAAGACATATATTAGAGACAGAAGGGGCCAGAGGAATGCTATTCACCTACACTATTAAAAAATTAAACCCACTGTTTCTTCAAAGTTGGGTACCTATAACTGGATTGACTGCAGGAATATTAACTAAAGGGCTGCTTTTACTAAACATTTCTGCTGAATTTACAGGCATATGGCAAAGGAAAGAAGGCAATGCTAGAAGACAAGTCACATGCTTACGTTTTGAAACCCAATAAGCGTAAAGTTGGAGGCATGATTAGATAAAACTTTTCCTTTTTAATTGCATTCAAGATCTTGCTGGCTACATACTCTGGATCGTAAACAGGAAGCAAAAGAGGTTTTCTGTGAAACAAGAAAAAAATTGTTAGGGAATTATAAAACTTTGCTTTTGAGATGTATTTTAACACATATGTAATTAACTAACTAACTTTCCCCTCAAATAGCCTTGAAAAGGAATCTCCAAATCTCTTTGTTTCTGCTATCATCAGAATAAATTGAAAACATTTTGATGATGTTTTGAATCTTAATGGCTTTAGAGCAAACAGAGCATAATGAAGTTAATGCCCACAATGATTGCAGCATTTGAAAACTTCAAAGTTTAGCCATACTGTATTCTCTTCTATGCATAAAGTTCTGCCTTCTGACACCTCCTCTTTCTCTACTGTGGATGCTGAGGTGACAGCTAAGTGGATCAGAACCAAGTCTGTCTCCAGCCAGGAGAAAGGCTGTGCTCTGCATAACATATGCTCCTGCAGGATGATGAATGGTGGAAGCAGGAGCAGAGCACTGAAAAACCAACATCACTGCTACTGTGCTACTACAACGGTTAATTCAGTGCTTGCAGCCTCTCCTATTACTGCACCCATAGTCTCCCACCAGATACTGTCACCACAGCTATTCCCTCGCAGAGAAGTGCAGTACCTGCTAATACAGATCATGGGGCACAGTTAATAATGACAGGTCATGGGTATCCTGACAGCCATAACTGTAATCACACTGCCAAAATTACTTGGGGCAGAGAACATCAGCAGTGTCCATTCTACTGATGAATAAGGCTGCCTTTAACCCTTAAGTACTGCTGTGCATCCCAAACCATTCCTTGACTGTGAGGTTATTACAGTCCCTGTTGCATGTCAGTTATTAACTGTATGCAAGACTTGCATTTCTTTAGATCAAAAGACAGTTTTATGTGCCAATAGGGCAAAAACACTGAATTGAAAATCAAATCAACCAGCTAGAGACTGAACATGGTATATCTTGTGAGTAGTGATTATTTTTTACATACGAAATAGTACGCAATCTGTTTTACTTACGCGCTTTGGAAACCTTTACTTAATTTAGTGCTAATAAAATAAGGGCAAATGATTGTGGTTTTAATGCCATGTTTTCCTGCATGATATAGTTCTGAATTAATGCCTTCCATCATTCCAATGATTGCATACTTGCTTGCAGCATAATCTGAAAAATGAATAAAGAAGAAATATTCAAGATCTCAAAAGCACCACAGTAAATGCTATATAAAAAAATTAACTCTTTGCAATAATATTTAATCCATTATATTATTTAGTTCTATAATTAGCAGCCTTCTAATTAGTATTTTAAGCATATTGGTGATGGTAACTCTGAAGGTTAATGACTCTTCCTGTGGTTGATGCACAGTTGTCTAAGGATAAGATTAATCCTTTCCAGAGCAGTTTTTTTCAGTGCACTATAGAGTGATATAGGAAGATGAACTTATTCAACCTTTTATGTGCATTTCCAGATACTCATATACAAACCAGACATTCTCTCAGTTAGAAAGTCTTCACCTTTCAATATCACAGGTTACATTTCAGAAGGAACTGTTTCTAGTGGTAAAATATACCCTACTTATAAATGCTGCTTTAGCCTATTACTTGTGATTTACCCTGCAACTTTTTGTTGGTGGGGTTTTTTTGTTTTTGTTTTTTTTGTTTTTTTTTTTTTGTTTGTTTGTTTGTTTTTTTTTTCCCAGGAAGATGGAATCTGGCAGAATTTTATTTTTGATGAATGTACGGAACTCCATCCTTGGCGATAATCAAAACTCGCCCTCACACAACCCTGTGAAACCTGATCTAAGTTGGGCCTGCTTTTATTTGGATATGTGGACCAAATGATCTTCAGAGATTGCTTCCAACCAAATTATTCTACAATTTTAAAACTGTAAGAAACTAATATAGTGATTTACATGTGGTTTCCTAAAGTTTTTTCAAATCTTTGTGTAAATAGTTGTTAGATACAGTGAAATCCAATTTTGCTAAAAGAGTGACTTCAAAGACTGGCATCAGAGATAGTTTGCCATTCTTCAGGAATTCACCCCCAGTGAATGATGGAACCACACAGCCTAAAAATAAATAGCTAAGGTGTAAAAGGTTAAAACACGGATGCTCAGATCCACTCCTATAAGTCTTACAGTTATATGATGAAACCTGAGCGTAACCTATATTGTCAATACCAAATATGACCCAATGATAACAGGTGGCAAATGAACACTACAGTAACACCATCAATCAGAAGAAGAAACAAGAGACACTTATTATACCGAAGTTCAGATTCTTAAAGAGTGTCCTCAGCAATACAATCATCATGTAAGACAGGCTTGAGGAAAGACTGGGCAGCAGACCCAGACTGATGGAATAGGCAGGACTATAGCAGACTGCTCTCCTGAGGGAAACCGCTGGAGGATATTGAGCTTTTAAATAGCTTAAAGCTTTATTCCAATTAATTTTATTGAAAATTCTGCCAAAATGCCTTCTGGACCTGAAAATAATTTTCCAGCTAAATATATAGTTCCAGATATAATCCACGTCTCAGGACTCCAAAGAAAACCTGATGTGAGAAAGAGTTAGACAACCTGTATGCAGAGCTTCCTCCCACTGCACATATACAAGCTGTATTGTCCTTATTCTGCTGAGATAGGACAGCCTGTAATCAGACGGTAAAATCTGCAGTGAGCTCCCGGTGCCACTTGGGCAACGTGACACTGTCACACAGCATCACCTTTGGCATCCACAGGTTCTCGTCAGCATAGGGCGCTTAAGCCAAGCATTTATTAGATCTCAGAGAAAAGTCATTTTTATGTAGATCTAATTTGTAATGGCAGTTGAAAATACTAACCTGTCAGTCTGTAGAGTCCCAGTAATCCACTTGCACTGGCCGTGCTAACCAGGTGCCCACGGTTATAGGTCATCATGGCTGGAAGAAAAGCCTTGCAAGTCTAAGAGAATACACATATATTAAAAAAAAAACCTTTATAAATAGACATGCCAAAAAATTGCATTTCAAAATTAGGCTTTCTGGGGCTTCATTATACAAGAAGCCCAACTGACCTTTTATCTCTGTAACAATTTTTAAATGATAGACAACATTTCCTTGAATGACTGCCCTCTATTTGATGATCTAACAGCATTAAAATTGTCTTATTAAAAGCAGCAAACTTTCTATTTTCTCTGCCTCCTGGTTACTCACGATTTGAGTCTATTTGAGACTATTGCCAAAGGTTTGGTACACAAGAGGGAGCTAGAAGTCAACACATCAAGGGAAGTTCAGCTGCCTGTGGGCCCTTTTTTTTTTACAAACTGAACTTCCAGACAGCTCCAGCATCCCAGACACCACTGTGGGTGACACTAACTAAGGAGAATGCTAGTGTTTTATGAAGGGTTAGATAAAAAAAAGAGACAAACAATAACAATTTTTTTTTTCAATATCTGAGATGTCCTATTTGACTCCAAATGTGACTACCTAGTATATCACCCTCCTACCCAGTGTTTCTTCAGACCTGTCAGGGAGAACATCTCTCTCAGTTCATTTGCCTCAAGTATTTGGAAGAATGATGGCTGAGGAATGCTTAGAGGACTCTTACTTGCAAGGATTTTCCATGGAGAACCGCCTTTTAACAAGGGAGTTGCAATGCTATATTGCTCCCTGATGCAAGCTGTTCACTCAGGCATATAAATAAAAAATGCAAGAGGGGGCAAGAGTAACACTCCCTCACAACATAAGCTCCTAAAGGTCAAATGAGAGCCCAAATAACAACAAATTCTTTCAGAGGTAAGAAAATAAAGATAATACTTACTATCCACACTACTTTTCTATGTACTTTAATCAGGTGGTGATTAAGAATGAAAGCACAGCCTGAAGACTGGCACCAACATGTGCAGCAAAAAATGATTGGAAGAGAATGATTTAGGTTGGAAAAGAACTGAGTCCAACTGTAAACCTAACACTGCAAGTCTACCACTAAGTCATGGTTGTGTCTCCCTGAATGCTCAAGTCCCTTAGACAAAGACTTCTAATGCCAGCAAACAGGGAAGACACATGCCATCATGTCAGCACTAACTTCAACCACATCTGTTACAGGTAGAGCACATTTCATGGTACAGTTGCACAGACTTTTGATTTACCAGAGTACTCAGGCAGGTTTGTGTTAATACTACTGAAACATAATGGGGAGACTGTCAATTTGGTGTGTTTCCAATTACAGGATGATTATGAAAACATATTCTCCCCCAGTGGAGGCTCTTCACATCCCTGTTCCAAATTGGGATTTTGAGGTAGACAGCACCATGGTGATTTTCACACCAAAACACTTGACTCTACCTTTTGGTCACCCAGAAAAAAAACAAAAAAACAAACCACAAAACTTTACCCAAACTTGAGAGAAGAAGTTGGTTTTGAAGGTCTTTTCAAAATCTGCATCTGAAAGGTCACAGAACTTCTTCCCAATCAGTATGCCAGCATTATTGATTAGAATAGTAACATCCCCAACTTCTTTTTTAACCTGAATAAAAAAACGTAAAGTTTTAGAAGGTATCCTTGCCTCTTGTGCTTTATTTATGAAAATGTTTAATTGATATATCTACTGAAAACATAAGTACTTAAGAACTGTTATATTGCTTCAGATCAAAGGTCCATCTGAGCCTCCTAGCCCTTGTCTCATGGTGAAAAGCAATAAAAAAAGGATGAGGGCTCTAAGGTCTCCAGGGTACTTAACTTTTTACATGCTTCAACTTCAGAACTTCCTGAGAGACATGAGGTATCAGTATCTTTGTGTTTAATATATCCCAGTGATTCTCCACCCCATCTCACTCCCTGAATTTTTCTAATAGCTCCCTGAACTCCAGAATACTTTTGGCTTCCACAGGAATATAAGGCAATAAGTTACAAAGCTTTAGTGTGCACCATGAGTGTGCTTTAGCTGCAATCGGAACATTTCTTGTCCCATGTTTTTGGTATTGTGAGAGACTGCATTCTTCAGACAAGCCTGTTTAAGCCCTTTTCTATATAATTTCTCCTGAACTGGAAGGAATTCAGCACAGATTCCTGGGGATATCAATCCTCTGAGTAAAAAGGACATACCATGAAATAGATAGATAACCTCACTTAGAAAGAAGGCCAAAATCACCACTAGCTCAATTTATTATAAAAAGATTTTGTCCCAAGATTTGGATTTATATCAAAGTAGATGGCCAAGATTTATTCATAGTATTAAGAATCAGTCTCACTGCAGAGATTCCTGAGCTAGAGGTGAGTGGTTATCCAGTGTCTCAAAAATTATAGTATGAATACAAAAGCATAAAAATCCCATACATGCTGCTGTCTGGCAATTTGGAAACAGGTATTTCAATCTGATACCCCAACATCTGACCTTCCTTTGGTTCTCTCAGGAAACCTTAACATTCAGTGAAGACTTGCTTGATAGTCCTTCAGCTGTGTCAGGTTTGATGCTTGTCATAGAAAAACAGTGTTCAGATGTTAGCACCATTCCACCTGCACAAACGAATGCAAATCTAGACACTACTGAGTATGGCAGGAATACTCAATTCTTCCTTCGTGGGATGTATCTGTGCTTTCTTCCCACTCATATCTTTTAACTGCTGTGTCAGTCCATATGATGATCCTCTTTTTCTTCACTTGACAACATAGCTTCACCAGTGTCAGTATTTTATTTAACCTGGCTTCGTTTGACCTGTTTACTCACTGCTACAGAATACATGTGAAGCTTGGCTCCCATTTGCAAAAAGTCAAGCTGATTATTCTACATTACATATTTTGTCAGGTGTCTATTAATTTCTCTCTTTATTATGATTTCTACCAATTTTCTCTAAGACAAGATCATAGTTTGTGGCCTCTCAAGTGCGCTTTAAAACTGGAATATTTGCTACTCTTTGTTTCTGATAACCTGTTATAGCAAAACACCCCCCACACATTTCCAGCCCATCAGATCCATATCTGATGTCCTTCAAAATTCCCGGGTGGACACTGCCTGATCCTGAAAATTAGTTTCTGTTCACTTCACCAGTTTATTTTAAAAACCTCTTCTTTAGGGACTTTGGTCGTTTGATTTGCTTCCCAGAAAGAAAGCTTTCATTACTGGAAAATACCTAGGTTTTTCTGCAGTGAGTATATCAAATAAAAACAATTAATTTAACTTTTTTGCTATTGCTTTATCTTCTGGGTCCAAGCTCAAGACTTCTCATATTACCAGTCAAAAAGTTGCAGGTATTTCCAAGAGTAGAGGAGGCCTCTAGATGAAAGACTCTTGAACTAAGAAAATTTCTGGCTTCATCATGACAGTTCAATACATGCAAATATCTATGAAGATGTTGATATTGTTAACAATAATTTAACACCTTAACAGCAATTTCTGAATTTTAAACAGCTTTTCAAACTTTTATTGGTAGGTCATTCTGCACCCTGCAGCATAGTGTTTGCTGATATGGGCACAGCAAATTCTGCGGGCTGGAGCCCTGCGGCTCATTTGGTTAACGTGTTTGGAGATTGAAAATTACTAGAGGGCACAGAACAAACCTTTTGAGACTGTGTTAAACTAAGAGCAAACAAATAATTTAAAAATGTTCAACATGGACACTGAAGTCCAACAAAGAAATTAAATGCATAAGCCTAAATTACACCTTTTGGTGAATGTCTTTGCAAGAAGAAGATAGCCTTTAGGGAAACTGGGGTTTAATGCCAATTTAAAATGTTATCTTTTAAAGAGATTTGATCTTGGCAAATTCTAAGGTAAGTTTTTATTTTTACTTGCAAAAAATAAGATTTGAGAAGAACTGGGTTTTTTTATAGTATCATTTCAAATAAAGACCAAATGTCATATATGAAGTACTGACCACAGATTGCTCAGACAAAGTTTTCATCTTGCTTGGAAGTGATAACAGATATGAAGATTGCTGAAATTACTGTGATTGCTACTCCAAAATTGTTGCAGTCATTATCAATGTCTCACACAGGTGTCAGGATCACATCATCTGTACTAAGTCATTGGCAAAGATAATCCTCCTTGAACACTGCATATTGTGTCAGCACAGGACAGACCATTCAACAACTTGCTCATCTGTGTTTACATGCTATTACGGTACAATAAATACAGCACTGCCCAAGTAATACTATGGTACCACCTGTGGTTCTTCACATTTAGGACGAATGGCCCTAAGTGGAATTTTTTCTGTGCACAGTCAGCACAGTGTCTGTGTCCCTAATGGTGCTAACAAGGGTGGGTAAAATAATACCTTGTTGACTGCAAATGTGAGAATTGCAGTTTCAGATACTTACAGATCCTGAATCCAATTTACCTTTTAGAAGCACTTTGCATTGGGAACATTTCTTGAGGGAAAAAAAATATTTCAAAACTTTCATAGCCACGCTCAGAAGAAATTAATTTGTTTTGGTTAAAATTAAAAGCAACAACCACAAAACAAAGAGCCCCCCCCAATTTTCATAGAAAATTAATGTTACATTTCAAGGCTATTCTGAAACAATCTATCAACATTCACATGTCATGAAATATTTTAGCTAATTTCTCTGATATATGCCTTCAGACACTGAACAGTGTATGTTCTCATATAACAGAAGAAGAATTTATCCTTGGATAAAATGGCAGAGTGGCTAACTGGATCATAAGCAAGGCTATACTGGGAAATATTTTCAGGCAGTTTAAGGACAAGTAAAAAGTAACAATGTGAATGTCCAATTTCTAGACTCTGACAATAATAAAAATAAAAAAGATAATAGTTTAAAGAATGTAGGTCAGCCCAGCAAAAGAGTTTAAGTTAAAATGTAGCTCTTTTCTACCTTACTTCCCAGCTATATTGACCAAAAAATAAAGTGAAGCTAAATCATCATTTTGACTGGAGACCCTGATGATGTTTCTGAAAACATTATACCCTCAAAGAACTACAGTTTTCTATACAAATGGGTAAAGGAAAGAACTCCCCTCTTACAACATATACTGATTTTTTTCTTTTTTTTTTTTTAAATTATTTCTTGATATCTTGAAGAAATTTCAAAGCCTAAACAAATATATGGAGATAACCTCTGCTGCATGTTTTACCATACTCTTAATATAAAAGAAGTTACTGTCTCACAATGAAGACTAAAAATGGATTAATCTAAACAGAACCTCTTAAATCCAGTTACTTTATTGAGAACATAGTTTAAGGTCCATCCGGAAGTGACTTGTTGAAAAGACAAAGTCATTGCCCTACATGATTTCTTATCTTTAGTGAATAGTAACAGTTTAAAAAAAAAAAAAAAAAAAAAAAAAAAAAAAAGAAAATCCGTAGCATATACTATTAAAAAGAAGCAAGAAAAATCAGAAGTAAGAAACCAAATCTTACCTTGTCTGCCTTTTCATAGACATCCTCTCTACTGCTGCAGTCACAATGATAGACAAACACCCGGTTAGCTCCCTTTTCTTGGGCTAATCTGCATGTTTCTTTGTTACCTTTGTCATCGATGTCCCAAAGAACCAAAGTCACTCCTAAAGGAGCAAATTTTAAGGCAACCTGCCTTCCAATTCCATTTGCAGAACCAGTAATAAGAACTATTTCACCAGCAAAAGATTTTTTGCGTAAAGGACATATACAGATGAGATTCTCAATAAATAAATAAATGAAAAATTTCAGGTACTGTAGTAACTTCTGGATGCATCTGAAGTTGAACATGATTTCTCAGGTACAAGCACCACTCTTCTGTAATTCAAATCCAGAAATAAAATACATTACGACACTGAGATATCAACTAAAAAAAGAGGTTGACCTTCAAACAGCCATTTCTTTTGCATTGTTCTTTTGTGCAAGTACAAAATACATTATTAAAGATTTGCTTTGTGAAATATACCGGATCCTTACTAGAAGAATTAAAGCAAATATCTTCTGCTAGATCCTATGGACCTTCTGTTTCATCCTGGGGTCCTCAGCTTCCATCTCCTTTTTTGAAAAGATTTACTCACATACATTTTAAACAGGTATGTTGAGTCAATAGCTACAGAGCACTTTGTTTTCACAACAAGGTGATGTTAGCTGAACAAAAAAGTACTGAACACACTAATGTGGTATCAACCTTAAGAAGGAAGGTGTCCTCCTTAGCAGGAAACGTTACCTGTTTCGGGAGGCAGGCAATCAGAACGTTCCCACACTGTGTGTATTTTCCAGTGCCGTACAGCCAAAATCACACCACGGATTCCCATTTGTGAGCAAATTGCCAGTCACAGGCAAAAGCCTAGTAGTTAGGAGCCTTGATTTTCACCCTACATTAGACCTCACCACTTCCTTTACGGTGTTTGGGGCGGGAAGAGCGAGGCTCAGGAGAAGGAGCGCCCGTCACCGACCCGCCGGGCCCGTCCCACCGCCGGGCTGTGTCCCGGGGGAGAGGCTCCAATCTCCCCGCGGCTGCGGCCCCCTCACCCCTTCCTCACTAGCCCCGGCCCTGCCCCAACGGGGCTGAGCGCCCCTCACTCCGCCCACTCCACACTCCCGCCGGGCCCCCGCGCTCACCGCCGGCTCCCGCCTGTCCCGCACTGCCCGCCCGCCGCGGACCACGGCTGGTAGTACCCTGCCCGGCCCGGCCCGGCCCGCCCCAAAGGCTGGGCTCCGTGCAGGGGCGGAGGCGGCCCGAGGAGGTGAGGGGTGCGGGGTGCGAGGCGGGGGCTGGGGCTGGGGCAGGCGGTGCTTCCCGGCTGGGCGGGTGCGGGATGCCGGATGCCGGCGGGGCCGCCCGGCTCTGCGGCAGAGGGTACCAAGCCTTGTCGAGGGCATCTATAGGGCGGCAGCTGCCGCTACCAGGTCGACACATCCCGCTGCTGCCGCCACATCGGCGGCCCTCCCACGCCTGGCCGGCCCAGCCATCGGAAAGGCACCGCAGGCTCCATCCCGCTTGGAGAACCACCTGGTCAAGGGCTTGGATAGCAAAGGATCTCTCCTCCCCCTGCTGCTACTTCGTAGCAGTTACAAAGTTAAAAACTTCTTACTTTATATCATAAATTACTGTTCACCGACTTGCCGGGACGGGAGCAAAAAGGGAGAAGCTGATCATAAACGTGTCTCCCTAAAACAGTGAAACCCCACGATCATCATTGTTTCTTGTGGGTCCTCAGTTTTCCATACATGCCTTATCCAACTTTAAAACCACAGTTCTGCACCACTGAAGCATCACTGTTTTTTCCCCAAGTTTGAATAGAAAACCACACTCCTACCTAGGTCCTTAAGAATGTGCTTTTCCTGTGGTGTTATCTGCTTGTCTCGATCACCTTGACATCTTCCACCCTGCTTACGTAAAAAGAGAGCACTACTTTATTTGCAGTACTTTGAATTTTGCATAAGTGATACTGAAAGTCTTTTTTATCAGCAAGTCATAGAGGGAAATTATTTGGAAAAAGTCACAGCGTGCTCTGATCCACACAATTCAGATTAGACTTCATGGGGATTCATGAGGTATTTTTCAGTTAAACTGAAATGAAATTATTGTTCACATAATTTGATGTAATTTACACCAAGAAATATGGTGAAAAACTCCAGGTTGTCAGTGTGAATAGTTGTATGGAAGGGATGTGCTTTCATACACAATTAACTGTTGAATATTCTATTTAGGCGCCAGAAAAAGGGGAAGCTGAAATACACTCACTGAGGCTGAAGGCAGATCTAAAAGCCTCAGTGAGCTGTGGTTCCAAACAAGGCACCAAGAAATGCAAAACAGGTGGGTAAGGTAACTCCAAGTGTCTCACTGTAATTGGTAATTACATGGCAAAATCAGCAGACTGTGGTGAGAGGAAGCTGAAATGATTCAGCAATGAATTCCTGGTTATGAAACAAACCAGAGGAGATGTTTGTTTATTATGATGACACTTCAAGGTGAACAGCATTGGTGAGGAACAGTGGTGCAACCAGAACTTTGCAAGCTGTAAGTTAACAGGAGGAGCCTGTTTCCAAAGCACGTGGTTATGCAAGTATGAGAACACATCACTTCCCTGCTCTTACGCTGAACTGACCTAAGAAGCAGCTAGCTATCATTCTATATGTAGTGAAAATGACAAAGATGATTAAAAATTTGTATACCTAGATTAGAGGCTTCGGTGTGGTAGTGGAATATTACAGTTTATTGCTAGCTTTAGGTAAAGAGTGGATGTGGTAAGTGACAAGGGACTTGGGGGACACACAGTGATTTCGGATAAGTTACATTCTGCTCACTAATAGCTAGATTTGATGACGCCTTTAGAGACTTGTTTAGCATTTGGAGATTAAATATCTGTGTGGATTTTTGTCTTAGTTTTGTCTCAATGTTTCATAACACTGAATTTTGTTGTCAAACAGAAACTTATTTTCCTGGCTGATGTATGCACCACAACTTGTCTCTAGCCTCAAACTTATCTTTCTCCACAATTAACTTCAAATTTGTACCAGAAGCTCCATTTCCAAATGATATTAAAAGCACAGAAATGAAATTTTCCACAATGTTTGACTGCACTGAAAAAAAAAAACCAAACCCATGAGTGGTATTTTTATTATTGACCTTCCAGTAACAAACCTTCATGTCTGGCATTTGTTTTAATCATAACAAAGCTATTAAACATACGACACAGAGCAAATGCACAAATAAATAAATTTAGGTACACCACTAACAAGGTCAAGAACACAACCACACAACCGCGAATACCTAAAGATGACAGTAAACCAGCATCTTTATGTACCACTGAACATTTTGTATATACTCCATGTTACGAGAACTTAAGAGAAGTCATAGGAGGCTGTCATGGTTTAACCCCAGAGAGCAATCAAGCCCCACACAGCCACCCTCTCACTCCCCCACCAGTGGGATCAGGGAGAGAATTGAGAGTGTAAAAACTAGAAAACTCATAAAGACAGTTCAATAGGTAAAGCAAAAGCTGTGCACACAAGCAAAGCAAAACAAGGAATTAATTAATTGCTTCCCATGGGCAGGCAGGTGTTCAGCCATCTCCAGGAGAGCAGGGCCCTATCACACATAACAGTTACTCAGGAAGACAAACACCATCATTCCAAACATACCCTCTTCTTCCTTCCCCCCCCACTTTATATACTGAGCATGATGTCATATGGCATGGAATACCCCTTTGGTCAGGTGGGGGCAGCTGTCCTGGCTGTGTCTTCTCCCAGTTTACCATGCACCCCAGCCTCCTCACCAGTGTGGCAGTATGAAAAGCAGAAAAGGCCTTGGCTCTGTGTAAGCCCTCCTCAGCAATAATAAAAACAATAAAAACATCTCTGTATGTAATCACTGTGTTCAGCACAAATCTAGAACAGAACTCCGTACTAGCCACTGTGATGAAAATTACCTCAGGCAGAACCAGCACAGAGGCATATCAAATTAAGCCTATCAAGTCTATTACAATAAATCACTATCCTTTATTTCTGCGCATAAGAATCGGTTGAACACATATGCTAAAATCTATCCATGTATAGAGGGATTTGGCTGAGGTTTTCTCATGGTGTAAATCCTCTGACACACTTACAATTTTCAAGGTGACAGAGTATTTCCATAAGTATATGCTTGTTGTGATACATGGAATTATCAAAACTGCTACAGGCCTTGCATAGTAAATGTAAGTATAACTAATTTTATTGGCCTTTTGATTGGTAGTAAAGATTAGAGTTAGATAATTACCTCCTATTCTCAAGCCATCTGGACCTTTTGAATATTTCTGGTGGATTGCACATTGACCAATGTCTTTTGGTTGCTGAGAATGTGAAGATGCTTACTTGCAAGGTGCTGAGGTGAATGATATTGAAAAGCACCTTCACTGCTGAGCCGCAATAGGTGATTTAAATATATGTTATTAATTACTAGTAATTGCTATATCCCACAGCTTTTTATAAATAGTTATTAAGTATTTATCAATATATTAATAAGACATTTGTGTACTCATCATCATCATCACCATCATGGCTGGGCTTCATGAATGAAGATTTGGGGAGGGCTCTACCCACGTTTGTTACAAGCACGTTGGTGGCTAAAAAGGCCAATATGAGATAGACAAGACCGGTTGCAAAAGGCACAGCAGAAAGACTCCTTAGGTGGTATATTCTGCAAGGCATGATTCTTTCTGCATTGTCTTTTCTCCTCGAGAGTGATCCTGCGTGCTTTCTCAAAAGCATCAGCAGTGTTAGAGATGATGTGTCTCCAGGCCTCCTGATTGGAGGCCAGAGTAGACCAGTTATGGTGATCAATATGGCCAAGGCTGAGATGTTGTTTCAGGGAGTCCTTGTATCTTCTTTTCGGGGCTCCTCTCTTGCGACAGCCGGTGGTAAGTTCATCATAAAGCAAGATCTTAGGGAGGAGGTGGTCCTTCATCCTTGAGACATGCCCTGCCCAGCGCAGCTGTGTTCTCAGCAACATGGCCTCAATGCTTGTGATTGCTGCTTGTTCTAGAACAGATGTATTGGTCACATAATCTGACCAGTGGATGTTTAGGATTGTACGGAGACAGCGTTGATGGAAGCGTTCTAGGAGTCGCAGGTGGTGGTGGTAGATGACCCATGATTCGGATCCATATAAAAGAGTGGACAGCACTTTGGCTCTGTAAAAACCGATCTTTGTACTTTTCTTCAAGTGTTTATTTCGCCAAACTCTTTTATGAAGCTTTCCGAAAGCACTATATGCCTTTGCTAACCTGTTGTCTATCTCTCCGTCAATCTTACCATCCGAGGAGATGGTAATTACCTAGGTAGGTAATTAAACTACTGGACTGATTTGAGCTCTGATTCACCAATGGTGATATGGGGATGATGGAAGACTTCCTGAGGTGCTGGTTGATAGAGAACTTCTGTCTTCTTTAAGCTGACTTCCAGTCCAAAGAGCTCAGCAGTCTCTGCAAGGCAGGATGTTAAACACTGCAGAGCTGCTTCTGTGTGGGCGACAAGGGCGGCGTCATCAGCATAAAGCAGTTCCCAGACAAGATGGTTTAAGGTCTTAGTGTGGGCCTTCAGTCACCTTAGGTTGAAAAGGCTTCCATCAGCATGGTATCGAATGTAGACACCGTCCTGATCCTCGAGGTCTGCCGTGGCCATTTGGAGCATCATGCGGAAAAAGACTGTGAATAGGGTAGGAGCAAGAACACAGCCTTGTTTCACACCATTAGTTATTAGAAAGGGCTCAGAAAGTGCATTGCCATATCTGACTTGGCCATGCTGATCCTCATGGAGTGAGATGATCATTTTAACGAACCTGGGGGGGGCAACCTAAGCGTTCCAAAATCTGCCATAGACCTTTCTGCTCACAGTATCAAAAGCCTTGGTGAGGTCAACAAAGGTTACATAGAGACCTTTGTTCTGTTCCCTACACTTCTCTTGCAGTTGTCTGAGAACAAACACCATGTCTGTGGTGCTCCTGTTGGCTCTGAAACCACACTGGCTTTCAGATAGAATTCCTTCTGCAATAGTGGATATTAGTGTGTTCAAGAGTATTCTTGCCAGGATTTTGCCAGCAATGGAGAGCAGAGTAATACCACGGTAATTTGAGCAATCTGATTTAATTCCTTTCTTCTTATACAAAGTGATGATGACCCGGGAGCCG